CTCCTCAAGACCGATGTAGTTAAAAACCAAATAGATCTCCGTTTAGGGTTATCACGTGGTATTCATCTTACACACCGAACACCCTCTGTAGAACTGAAACAACCAAAAATAACAGATGATTCATTTTGACAGTTGGTACATATCGTTCATACCTCCCCCCTCTGAAAAAATAAGAGAATTAAAAATGTGTGCAAATGGTTGACCTGGGATATTCTGCGTGAGTGAGCTGGTATCATTCGATGATGACGACTATGCAGTCATCATCATCGAATCATACATAAGAGAACAACGCATTTTCTCATCAAGTTTGTTGAAAAACACTGAGGATTGAAAACCCATTGTTGCGTCAGCGTCTAGAGATTAGATTAGATTAGAGATCACGATTTGTCTTCCATTCAAAGGTGATGATGCAACTAATCTAATACATCAACGGTTACGATCGGTTGTCAACCGGACTTGATACGCAGCCAAACCCAGAACTGTGCACAAGATAAGGAGTATACCCGTCTCACCCCCGGTTACAGAACGCCCGTCTGTGTACGCCAACTCCAACGTAATCTCTCAATTCCAATGTGGGTGCGGAGACCATTACATTGGTAGAACAGAAAGGTAATTACATAATCGAGTCTTAGAACACATTCTGAACTGGGTTCAACACAAGGTTGCCGTAGTAAAGTCCACACAGCCGGTAACTAGTCCGTGCTTACAAACCACAAAACTCTTCGATTGCCAAGCGCTTGTTGATGACGCAACACCTCGTGGATCTCGAAAAAAGCATTTTGAGAGATTTTTACTGAGGAGAACACCAGAATGCTCAAGATTGCCGAGGTGATTGCAATCAACCGATAGACACCAATTCTGTGTCAACAAAAGGACGTGTTCATCACCTTGGCTTTGTCTCGGTGACGCTTCCCCTCATTTACATGTATTTATTTTGTAATCCATTCCTAAACCCTGCATAAACATCGTATTTGTATGCAGTAGGCACCAGTTGAGATACAGAGAAATTTTCCAGGAAATAAATCATGCTACGTCACTATACAGGCGGCTTCTCTTTTCACATTTATCACGGGAAAAGCTTGTTTCAGTTTCATCACGCTTTGTTCAAACCCCGCGATTCTTTGGCTACGATCGACCCATAAAGTTAGCCCTGCTGAGCTTTGAGCAAATCAGATAATAAAAAAATACTTAGCCCAACGAATGTTGAATCATTCTATTTTTCCCTTTTGTAAAGCATGGTTAACAGAGGAGAAAAAGATACAACACATATACACGCTACTGTTTTGCATGTCGTAATGTGTATGCAGTCTTGCGCTTCCGCCTCCCTAAGGAAACAACAAAGTCATATTTTCAAAGGTGAATTCGTCATGCATATAGCAAATGAAGCCGTGAATTGAAAAACTAGGAAACACTGGACAGCTGTTTTGACCTGTTTGGGTCTCATCAGCAGTGCAAATCCATCGACCCAACTAGGGATCGAACCCGGAACCTCATGGGCAGAACGCAAGCTTCATTTCCTATATACACGAAGCATTCACACCTTCGAAATTGAATCAAATCCTCCATTACTCACTTGAAAGTCATATTTGATTACTAATTTGTCAAAACATGAAAGATTTGCTGACTTTCTATAGATGGCTTACTATAAACGTTTGCAACCACTGTTCATCCTGAATAACTAGCAGAACCATAAGCACTGGACTGAAGAAAGGCAGACGTCAATTATCCCAGCTCTGTAGTTTGTTTTACAGGCGCATCACAGGGGAAGGTCACAAAAAGGGGACTTTGACAGATATTATTCATCAACTGTTCTTCACATCCATCTACTGGAACACTTTCTCAACCGATTCAGTACTTTCCGTAACCGTATGACCGACCACATATGCATCAACGTGTGTGTGTGCTTGTCCAGTTATTATGTTGCGAAAGCTTTTGCGGAGTCAGGCTGATTTATTTACCGAACCATGATTGCATTGCATATAGTAAGAACTCACGCAAATACTTGGACTGGTTTTTAGTGAAGAAGAGCACGGATGCAAGAGTTCCACAACTGTATGCGCATTTGACAAGTGACCGGACTGGGAACGGTCGAAATTCAAAAACAGACACTTGTTTTCAGTTTGTCAAGACTTTGTGGAAGCTATTCAGCATATCGTTTAAGTTAGGTATTCGAAATGAGGGTGAATCGATTATTGATTATTGGACGCATTAGCCAGCCTTGGAAGCATTAAACCGAAATCTTTAGCAGTGTGAATTTATCCAATCCACAGGGGACGTTGGAACATGTAAGATTGCGTGCTGAACACAGTTTCATCGACAGATCGAACCTTCCATATCTGCTGTGGAATATGATCTTGTTGCCTAGTTGTGCTTCATGGGGAATTGAGCACTGACGTCTTCTGTCTGGTGTGTCCAATGACAAAAACTAATGAGCGCTGGCTATTGTAATGCTATCACATAGTGGCTTTATGTGATCAAACTTGAGCTTTGAGTGTTCAGGTGCGAGTCCCGATGAATTTGATGTATTCGTTCTTAATTATAACAATGACAGAGAACCTTCAGATTGCTTTTTAGAGATCTACTGACCAGGGAAACGGTGGTTCTGCACAATGAATAAATAGACTCTCGTAAATGAGCCAGATCTAACTTCTCATTTTACTTGAGCCAATTTCCTGAACTGCGTGAACTAGTTACCGCACTGCTCAGTAATTTCTGTCTTCCATCACTATGTGAGGATCACAGACACTGAGAGATGTGGCTGAGTTTCGTAAACAGTTGTGTGTTCGTGCAGCCAGAGTTTTGACTGGAGTTGATGGTTGTACAAACTGAACTGAACTGATGGACAGAAAAGACTGAGTGAACCTCACTGTCACGGGTAATCACCATGCCCTCGTAATCCCTGGAAAACCAAGCTTTGAGATGTGGCGAACCAGAGCAGATTCAACCAATCGGTGAACAAAGGAGGATGTTATTGGTATCAGTGTTGCAAAACAGCATACAATTTAACGTAAGATCAGGGTTGCACAGAAAAGGCATTACTTATTTAGAACAAATGACATGGAGGGCTGGGGAACGGGTTAGGAAAGACCGTGAGATACGGAGTGATTTAAAAAACCGTTTTTTGAGGGGTACATGATGAAAGGAAACTGTACCGACGAATTCCTATCACTCGAATTCACAGCCAGATTAGAAGTGCTCGGACTATCAATTATCTATTTTGGGCAGTGAACTACATATGCACAGGCCTCAGTGTTCCTCATCAGTTTCAAATTACCCGATCGATCGGGGCTAGGGAGCTGTCTTCTCATTGCGTATCAGGCATCTAGTGCAAACAATGAACTAAACTTACCTAAAATCTTTAAATAAACCATTCGCATCTAGAGACGTTCTTTCGCCTCAGGTTCCGTGGCTTACACAATGTGCACATTTTGTATATGATTCACTGCAAATCAGCCGATTCTCCATTTTTTATTCATACAACATACTTTGTTAAAATATGTGTGTTGCATTATTTTATTACCTGAACCGCAACATTTGTTTTGAAACGAGGGTGACAGTTTACTTTTATCGTTAAATATATTCACACTAGGGATGTACTTAAACGACGTTCATTGTAGCAGTCTGTGAAATTTTTCACGTCAAAGTTAAAGCGACTCCGCGACGAGTCATTTCACGGGACGTACTCGTTGACAGGTGAGAAGTGATTGAAACTTGCACCACAGAACATTTTCCTATCAACGAGTGCAAATGTTTTTCTTACGGGAACTAGGAATGTGATTGTCCAACCGAGTAGCAACTGTTCAGGCTCGATGTGTTATTTCAGCACATTAAAGGTATGCGTGTTTAAATGCCAGACCCTCGACGAGTAACGTGAGTGAGTGGGTGAGGGCGCACGAGAGAGAGATAGTATGAAGCATTGTTCGGAAAAGAGTTTTAACAAAAATATCCTCCAGTCCATTCAATTTAACCTTATCGTTATTGATTAATGGGTCTGAATACTTTTGGCTTGCACACAACAACTGGTGGTTTTGAATAACCCGCAATAGGATCGTTGTGGGAACTTCGGTTCACAATAATCCAATCCCGTTGAACTTTTCCGTTCAGTGAAGCTTATATTTCGGTTTGGTGGTTGTCGCGCAGCGATCAAGCATAGTTCATTCAATTGCCCCATTTCTGGTGGTCAATCGTTTGTATTATTCGCATCTTTATCCAGATCAATATGATACACTTTCTGAAAGCCGAAAAAAACTATCATTATCCGTTTTTATTGCGTGGCGGAGAGACACTACAAGGAACGCCAATCACTACTTGGATATATGACCGTCTCTGTCAGATAAGCAACTCACGTTCAACCCGACCAGATCGGAAATGATTTGGGCTGACAAGTTGCGAGACTTGGGCGTCACGCGCCTTCCTCAATTAATATAGCAAACATACCCTCGGATAGAAACGCCATCCATAAGTTGAACTGAGGGTTGATTACGAATCAACTCAATAATATTCTAGAATGGACTGTTTATTTGTAAAATCAGATGGGAAAGTTCTGATAGGATTATTCACTTTCATAATGTGACCCAAACCAATCCATGTGGAGAAGGATCCTGTCATCCATACTGTTCTCATTACAGCGTCAATGAAATGAGCATATTTTGTATGCAGATGATTTAAGTTAACCGTGTGTGATTATAGCTGATAGACGCGTTCACAAATGCCTTCATCGGTCGATTCATCTTAGCTATAAGATTGTTTGGATCGAGATAAAGAGGATTATTTAAGACAACCCCTAGGTAGTATTACTGAGTTTTAAACACTTCACTAAATATCCATATTTATCAAATCTGAGATGACTTGAACCCTCCACCCTCACAGTCGCTTGTATTACACAGCTTTTTGTTTTTCTTGGTGGAGTATCTGCGCCATATAAAATCGAGTAAATTTGAAGGATTTGATAATGATTTTTTAAATATCTCAGCATGTTCACTTTGTATGGATATGAAAATTTATTCCTCTAATATACGCGATCGGAACAAACTGATGGGTGCTGATTGATCTTGTAACCGTTTAGCACATTTCAAATGGACAAGATCAATAACAGGCCAAATTTCTTTGTGGACACCAACCTTGCCTCCTTCGGACAGATCGCACAGCATCACAATCACATCACTTTTCTGTTCCCAGACCATTCGCCAAAAGTCTTCTACGGTTGAAACCATGGGCGCTTGACAGGCAATAAATGCATTCCGGTCCTGATATCCGTCCACATAGCTTGCATTGATATAATCCGATCCATCTACTCCCCGGATGGGACACAGGCTCACACGATTGAAGTCAAACGGTACGGCATGCAAAATTCGGTTCTTTGTCAAGTTGACCTTTTGGGACAGGGGATTGAAGATGAAGTAGGGAAAACGGGTGTTTAGGTTTCAACTGGCAATCGTAACGCAAATGGATAAGCGGTCTGGTAGTTGTAATATTCAAGGACCACTTCCGAGCTACTGTTACGATAACCTTAAATAAAGTCGCCAGACCTCGAGTCTACAACCTGGTTCCACAGATGAAATATGCGGAACAGTGCGAACTTCAGTGTTGGTACTGTCTGCTGAGAAATTTTTCGCATCACACCGATTCCTGACATCCGTGCAATGGTTCTGTCGAGTTGTTCAGGAATGATTGCAAGAACATCTTCTGGAGGTAGCCCACCGGTATTGAGAGGGCTACCACCAATCAGTTAACTGTATACGGTACTGTTCTGTCGATTTGCTCGTACACGTGCACTCCGGAATTTAGTTTCAGTTGGTTATTGCATCTGTATTTAATCTGAATTTCAAGGGTTCCAAAGCTCCCTGATTATACCAAATATAAGACTCAGCGTTCTAGGAAGGACGAGTTCCGTTAACATGAGGAGAAAGTGGAGTACCTGCTGGGTGGAATACACAGCCGGATTGTGTAATGTGCCCGTGAATAGCTATCGTATAGCCAGTTAGATACCACTTCTGTTATTTACTGAGCCCAGTCTTCTGACAGACAGTCTGTTGGGTCAAGACAAAATCGTAGCGATCACTGTCATTGAGAGCTCATCGCCTATTAGAACATCTTAAACTTATATGCACAATGTGAGATAGTTTGAGATTGTGGGTGAAAGAAAAATAGGGTATTTTGATCAGTCCATCCGACACACCAAACTCAACCGGTTAGTTTTTGAGCGTTCCAGATCGAATTTGGTCATAACAAATTGTCCATGATTATCTCTCCGTTCACAACCCCGACATGAAAGACTCGCGTGTATCTGTGTATTTGTGTCTGGCAGTCCCCCATCGATCCAAATTGATCAGAATGACATTGCGCAAGTCTGAACTTGTGATCCAATTTGCACATGAGGGAGATGGTAGACCATTGAAGCATTTCATGTCAAGGCAAAGCATATAAATGAAGCCGGTCACAAATCCAACTGTCTTTTAATACTACAGTTTCTTCTATTCTAGTCTGTGTCAAAAAAATATTTTATCGATTGAAGTAAGCTGTATCAAATGCAATGCGAAATGTTTGAGCACAAGCTTATTCTCATTCAATTAGTTAATATGTCATGTGCTTTTTCCATTTAGTGACTTCACCAAAAACAGTAATTTATCTATCGTTTTTGCTTCTTCTTTAAACTTGTGGAACCCGGGTTCAACCTAAAGGAATGCGTGTAAATCAAAATGTATGCACATGAATGGCTCGTGACACATTTATGAAACCGATTTATCATGCGTACCGTTGTCAAAGCCTCGTCACCAGAATCGACATATTTAAGTCCAGTCGGGCTGGACAAACTGGTCAGCATGATCGGGGTGGTTGCTTTTTTGCCCACATTTCGACCTTGTGTTTTCAGAATCGGTGCGGCCGCATTGATCTTGCGAAATTCCAATTGAAATCCTGTCAAGCCTAGACCGGTACATGTGACTTTGCCGGGACCACCACCCATCCAGTCCGAGCTCGATGTGGTCTGAATTTCGTCCAGTTGTTGTATGTGTGTGAAAAAATTGCGTGCCAGCACCTCGGTGTTTCCATCCACAATGGCTTCAGTGATGACCCGATAGACAAATTCGTACTGGTCCACGGTTTCAATCATGCCCACACGTTCCGTACGAAGTCGTGTGACCAGACCGGGAATATCAATGGCTCCCTCGACTTTTGCCTGTTCCAACAGTATGTCTATCGCAATCAGGATACCTAATGAAAGAAGAAATGTTTAGAAATAGATGATGACGTTGAAACTAAGCTTTGTTTCGAAGAAAGCCATTTCTCACAATACACTACCCAGTGAGTGGAAAAAGTTCCTTTCGGAATTTCACTGATTCATTTTTCAATTTCCATTCTAAACGAAACAGGTGTGAAGACTATTTATCTGAATTGGTTATTAAGTGGCTCGGGTTGCTAAACTCCACATAGTCTGCTTTCTCTGCGCCCGGGTATCAGCATTCTCAATTTCTATCTGGTGTAAATGAAGCTACTTTTCGTTCAGTCTTACCATGAGCGCTGTTGACCAGGCTTTCTAAGTAAGCAGAAAACCATCAATTGAATGGGCTAATTCAAGCTTGATAATCTAAACTGATTGAGCCATTCGCACAAGGTGATGACCGTCAACCGTGTAGCTCAGGGGCGAGGATTTGAAGTCCCAACCCGAACGTCCGCGGTTCGAGTCCTGACAGGGACACAAAATGTACGCATTACTGATTAGTCCCAAACACGGCGAAACAGCTGTCCAGTGCTCTTTGTCGGTTATCACAAATATTTCCATCGCATATGAAAAGCAGAAAACCAATTTCAGTTCGAACTTCCATATCCGGCCACATACACAGTGGTTGAAAAAATTATCAAAACCAATTCCCAAACCGCTGTTACAAGCGTCATCATATCACAGTTGCGCAATCGTGTTTTCTCCTGACTGAATTCACGAGTCATCAAGTGTTTATCATGTGATACACTCGAAATTGGTATTCCAGTGTGATCCCTCTCGTCACACGCTTATGCGTTTTGATGGATGGAACCGAGTCTAACTGTTACACGGCAGTAGGTTATGGACTCCAACGTGCAGTTGGTGCTAGTGGTTGTCTTGCGAACGGGTGAACACCG